CAGGTGTTTAACTTAAAAGCAAATAATTCCCCTTCCACCCACTCTGTTCCAGTCTGTCATCTCTCCAAGGTCACCTCCCTTCTGGAGAGAGGGTCTCACTGGGCCACCACATGCCAAAGCAGTGCTGTGACACCAGGAAATCAACAACAAAACAAAAAAAAAAAAAAAGAAAAAAGAAAAAGCAGGTCCTCTCTCCCCTGCTGCCACTAAACAACTTTTTTGCTACCCACGGAGAAGAGTCAAAGTTTCTCGAGGTACCTACGCTTGTCCCCAACATTGGCAACCTCCTCTAGACAACAGGGCAAACTAAAATGTTTATTAGCCACACTGATTCCACATTCCCTGCATGTTGAAGATGTGATGAGTTACATTTTGGTCTAAGGCAATTTTTTTTAACACTTTCCTTGGCAAATATGAAAGCCTGTGTTTTCAGGACTATTTCTCATTAGAGAAACCTTAAAGAGATTTTTGGCAGACACGTTCTTAATAATTAGATTTCTCCACAGTACCTCCAATTAGCCAATTAAACTGAACACTCAATATCCTAATCTTTTTTAAGTGTAAGCCTCCATGCCCTGACTGATGGTACCTCTGATTATTTAATTCATCACTTTTAGGATTACACAAAGCAGAAAAATCTAAAAAAAACCCCAAACTTACTTACCCTCAGTAGCATTTTTACGTCTTCTGAACAGGCGTATTGCCCCAGCACGCTGTCCAGCATTTCCACGTACCACGAGCCACTCGACGTCTCTCTCCAGGAGACAAAACCTTTAAAGAAAGAATGAGAAAAATCCCTGCTAAAGCCAGTCTGCTGGTCTTGTCCCACTGAGTTACTGGACGCTGCCTCCAACAGAGCTGGTTGCCCCCAACTGCCCCTGACTGTCCACGGAGCTCCGGCTTTTTTTGCTAATTCCCCCATACCCAGCAAAGGATTTGACCAGGCTGTCTCACCTGGAAAAGTTGAGTAGGAGACCAGGATGTCACCGGGTGTGGGCAAACTGGCTACGGCGTCCAGCTCGTCTGTGTTACCTGATGGAGTCTGAAAAGGAGTCGCATCCGACTCCAAGGAACCGCCAGGAGCTTCGTCTCCAGGCGAATCGGACTCCACTACAAAGCCTCGATCTCTTTGTTCTGCAAAAAACAGCAACAAGACACTCCTTGATGTTCATCTGACCCATGCACTCAATGATCGTACATCCTCCATTAGGAAAAGATTTAAAAAAAAAAAATTAAAAAAAAAAGAGAAATAAAGGCCTGCCAACAAAAAAAAAAAAAAAGCTTTTGGGCCCTTTGGCTGAGCCGGAGCTGTCGGTGATTCCCACAAAAGCCTTGGTCCGTGCTTCCCTTCTAACCTCGTGGCTGAAGACCTGGAGCAGCCACTCAGGGTCCCCTCCTTCCAGCCCGCAGCCCTGCCGCGCGGTAAAACCATTCCAGCACATGCCGATGGGTTCTGCCCTCCTACGAGAGGCTGGCGGCCGAGCCCTCGTCTCAACCCGCGCAGCAGTGAGAAGGTGTGGCCGAGAGGAAGAGAAGACAGGCGGAGAAACAGGCGATGAACACGAAAGGAACACAAAGCCCAAGCCTAACTATGTCTCTGAACCTGCTTATGCCCAACAGCTGATGCTTCGGGAGCTCAAACATTCACCTCCACCACAGGCCTGGATGAAGAAGAGTTTGGGTTTCCCTCTCAGAGTCGGGCACTGGGACCCATTGAAATAGTTCACAATCTTTTCTATGGGAATGGGTTTTCCATCCGTTCCGTAAATGCCTCCAGGGAACTGAATATGGCTCGTCTGCAAGAGGAAAATCCAGGAGCTAGTCAAGCAGAAGGTGAGGTTCCAAGGGCGCCCGTCTCCAAACGGGTGCTTTGGAGCCTAAAGTTACCAGGACAAATCTCACTTGTGTTTGTGCAAATGCACGCACTGCATCAGGGACGCCCAGGAGTCATTTGAAATGCACTAAACCCAGAGATCCAACTCCTCCTGCTCCTGTTCCACCTCCTCCAGCCACAGGGCTCTGCATCCTCTGGGACAGCAGGCACGTAGCACACACCGATTTCCTAACAACTGCTCTCCTGCCATCCTTCGAGGCCTCTGCCTGGCACTAAACAAGCTTTACTGCTCATACCGTCTCCCCCATCAGCGCCGGAGAAACAGGAAGGACTCAGCGACCACAGGATGAGGGTTAGTGCAACCTCCCTTCACTCTCTGCCCATCGTTCGGTTCCGAATTATATACCCCTGCTTCCAAAATGGATCTCATCCTGGATCAGCCTACGCTGGAGAAATTCCCATTTTCTTCAACCCAGATACGAGCGCGTCACTCCGTGCAACACACCGTGACAGCAGATCAGCCCTCAGATCGCTCACGACAGTGAATCTCGCTTTCCCCCCGCCCCACACGAGACCGCAGGGCATGGACCCCTTTCCCCGCGGGCAGCCTGGCTAACGAGCAACGGGAGAGACCAACGAACCCACCTGACAGCCATGGGAAAGGATGACCACGACGCAGCAGTCCAAGGCGCTGTGGTCCTGCCGCGCCAGCTTCTGCAGCTCTGAAACCATTTCCTGCAGAGAAAACATCACGGTAAATCAAATAAATTAAAATATTAAATCAAATAAATAAATAAAAGGATGTGAGCGGTTGATTATTTCTTTGTGCAGCGCAGGCAGGGGCTTTCAGCGTGCTGCCAATGCAGGGTTACGTCCCGTAACATGCTCCTGTTGCTTTTGGGGGGCTCGTCTCTGGTCCTTCATGTCAGCTGGACATGGCCGGCCTCACCTGAGCTTTGAGATCCCGCCGAGTCAGGACATCAAAGCGCAAGGCCTTGAAGCGCTTCTCCAGCTTCTCGCAGTCCACGTTGGAGCCATCTCGAGTCGACAGATTTGAGTCTCTGCTGAAGTTGACGTTGTTGAGGATCAGGCAGTGTCCGCACGGGTCCGCTTTCAGCTCGTAAACCTGGCAGGCACGCGTTGCAATTAAAAACCCGCTTATTCAGAGAGCTCACCGGCTAATCCAGCAGGATGCAACACCAGCGAGGAACAGGAGTCCTTACAGGAGCTCATTTCACAAGCTTTTCTCATTTCTCCAGGGCTAGGGATAGATAAGAGCTTTCATCCTTAACACACACATCGTTATCAGCAGCCAGGGAACACAAAACCTGCTAAATCAGAGACCACCTTGGCAGAAAACTGGCTGCTTCTTTACCTGCAGCATCTCTGATGGCAAGTTGAAGTTTTCGGGAATTTTTTCAGGCATTGCCATCAAACCTCACCATGAGCACCTACGCAAGGGACCCAGAGAATGAGTAGATAAATCTCCTGGAGACTCAGTTTTACCATTGATGACAACACCACAGGATTTTTACGAGGGCTACCCAAACACTTGCACCAACCCGGCCACAAGCCTCACGTATACACAACCAAGCCATTCGCTCCGCATCAGATTCCCACAGGCTGCGGGCTGGGAATACACCTGGAGTTGCCTTCTGACAATTCTCGCTTCCCTGCGCGTTTCCCAACGCACCAAAGCACGCTGCACGTGTTAATGACTGTTCTCCTGGCACCTGCCTCTCAACGCTGCAATTACAAAGTCTAAACATCGCCTTGCAGACAACACACGACTCAGTGCCTTCGGAAATGACCGGCTGCCTTGCTGGGAACCGTTCAAGTGCAAGGTTTAGCTCTGTGATGTTATTTGTGTTATAGCGGCAGTAATCTTAGGGAGGAGCTGGCTAAAGACTGACCCGCTCTGAGCCGACCGGCCCCATTACAGCAGCGTCAGCCTCAGAGCGATGGCTCAGGTAACACACAGCAAGAACTGGCTGTCCCAGGGCTATTTTCTGCCAGCCACCCCCAAGGCACGGAGCTTTTGCTTAACAGTGAACGCTTTTGGCCTCACCAGATACTAACCAGATCCCGGGTCCTCTTGTCAATGGGTGGACCTACAACACACAACACAGACACAGCATTTAGCTCCCCGCCCTCCATGATGAGACAGAATATACCTTCCTCCTAGAATTAATGTCAATCCTTTCCTGTCACCCACGACGCATCAGCAACAGGTACGAATTCCCCCTTCCCAGCCCAAACACAGGCTGGAAACGAGCACCCGGCTGCTGAGCCTGGGACCTGGCTTACCCCAGGCTGGTAAGGGAGGTGTCCGAGATCTTTCGCTCTCAGCTTGGACAGGGATGGACAAACACTCCGGAAAGTTCACATCTGTAACGACACAGGACAGTCAGGTCTCACCTTCTTCCGCTTCTGATTTCTTGCTACAAACAACCAACCCGGGGTCCTCAGAAGGA